ATATAGATCATATCAGAAGTATAATTTGAAATTTTCACATAAATTATCAGTTTTAATTAACATCTGACTACATTATCATGATTAATGAATTCTCAATATCATGATACTCACAACATCAAACATCAACTGCAAAATTGACAACAAAAGCAGAATATATCACTGCTAGTGAGATTGTGTGTGAGCTTATTTGATTGAATGATATGCTGCAAGATGTAGATCTGATGAAAGAAAAGTCAAAGATTCACACAACACTACAGATGAATAATAAAGATATCATTAATCTGACAAAAAGAGACTTCTTGATAAAGAGATTCTGTCATGTAGAGCTTCATTATCGTATACTTTGTGACCTAGTTGAGAAAAGAAAGATGAAGCTCTTATACATAGATTCTACAGCAAATAAAGCAGATAGATTTATGAAGTCTTTGTCAAAGACAGCTTACAATGAATTTGTGAAGAAAATAGAATTGATGAAGATCTAATCTCATTAATGAGAATGATTAATTTTATATGATTTTGCAGCCTTCAAGATTATGTAATGAGAATACATATTAGAGGAATAATTATGTATTTTCTTTGCAAAGTTACAGTATGAAGATGTAATAGAGTTTTTTCTAATAGAGAAACTAGCATCTGATATCTGTATTTAATTTTTATTGTGAATTTGAAAGCATTCAGCAGCTAGAGAATAGAGCAGAGCTCAGACTCACTGTAGCATAAAGAGATGTTAGAGAATTCTCTAGCTATCTGAAATCATGTGCATCTATGTATTTATTAGTAGCTAGCTAGCTTGCTTAGAGTTACATAATGCAACAAAATCAATAACAGTTCTCTAATAGTAATTGAGGTAGATTTCAGCATCTCTTTTTTCCGCATCAAGTTTAGTATTCTGTTATATAGTGGCTAGCAATGCAGGAAACTTCTTCTTATACAGCTCACATTCACTTCTTAACAGTTAATCAAACTGCTATTAAAGATTCAATTGCTTAATTCTATTATATCTACTTAAATTTAGATTCAAATATATAAGTATACAAGTAATGATTCTTTTTTAGCTAGTTTAAGATGAAGAAATAAGTAATTAAAACTACAATTTAATTCTTAATCAGCTTTCTCACATATATAATAACTCAAACAAGATAATTGAAGTGGAAGACAAATTATACAGTCTAAAGTAGAGTATAAGTAAACCTCTAGTAATTTATATTTCTAAGTTTGAATGCATTTTCTATGAGATTAAAGCTCAGAAGTAACTAGATTTTTCAAAGATCTTTTAATTTTATCAGAGTCTCAGTATATTAATTTATAATCATTTAGCTTAGCAGTTGAATCTATTCTTAGAGAATCATTATTAATCTTGTTGCATTGTGTGACTCTAAACAAACTAACTACTACTAATAAATACATAAATGTACATGATTTCAGATAGCTGGAGAATTCTCTAATATCTCTTCATGTCACAGTCAGTCTGAGCTTTGTTCTATTTTTTAGTTGCTGAATGCTCTCAAATCTGCAATAAAAATTAAATACAAAAATCAGATGCTAGTTTCTCTATTACAAAAAGCTTTATTATATCTTTATATGGTAACTTTACAAAGAAAACACACAATTGTTTCATTAATCTATATTCTCATTACATCTTCTTAGAAACTATAAAACTGTGTAAAATCAATCATTCTCATCAATAACATCAGATCTCTGTCAATTCTATTTTCTTCATAAATTTATTGTAAGCTGGCTTTAACAGAGACTTTGTAAATTCATCTGCTTTATTTACTGTAGAATCTATATATGAGAGCTTCATCTTTTTCTTCTTAACTAGGTTGTGAAGTATATAGTAATAAATCTCTATATGATAGAATCTCTTCATCAAGAACTCTCTCTTTGTCAAATCAATGACTTTCTTATTATTTATCTGCAGTATTATGCAGATTTTTGACTTCTCTTTCATCAGATCTGCATCTTGCAGCATACCATTCAATCAAATAAGCTTATATACAGTCTCACTAACAGCAATATATTCTGCTTCTATTGTTGATTTTATGATTGATGTTTGACATTATGAGAGTCATTATATTGAGAATTCATTAATTATGATGATATAGTCAGATGTTGATTTATATTGAGTCTGCATTTGCTCAATCTAAATCATAAAATAAGCAACTGACTGTAGATTTTCATCATCTTCCTCATTTTTATAAACTATTTTCAGAGCTTTTATCTTCTTTACATAGCAAAGAACATGCTTCAGGACTGCTCAGCAGTTCTTATTCAGACATAAATTGAACTTTGATAGATAATTCACAGCAAATGTCAAACCTGATCTTGTGTTTGATATAAGATATTGAAGTGATCTGAGCTTCTGATGATATCTCATAGCTGTAAACTTGTCTTTCAATCTGACATCTCTTTCTGAGATGAATTCCAGTCATATGTCTGCTGTCATAGATATGCCAGCAGAGTTAATTTTATTTATTTTCAAAATCTTCAAGAATCTCTTCAATATAACAGATCTGTGAGACCACTAAGTCATCATTTGATCTGTATTTAATTTTCATCTCAAGGATAGAGCTTGTCTTCTTCAGTATTTTTTGTCTTAAATTTTTTCTTCTTTCATCTCAACAGCTTTACTTATAGCATTCACAGAAACAGATTCTGTGACAAGATCTTCATCAAAAATAACATCTCTAGCAATCTCTAATTTGTATTCTTTTGAGTCTTATATGTAATATTGATGCGGTTTTTGATAACTTATCAATCATTACTTCTTGCCATCTGTTCTATCTGTGAGCTTATTTATTCCTTTTAGATTCTTCTTGTAAGTCTTGCATTCTCATCTGCAGATTCAATGAGCTGACAGCTGAACCTCTGTTCAGACTTCAAAAATTGTCAATGAACTGCCATCTTTGCAGTCAAAAATCTTTGATGTAGAGAATATATTTATCAACATTACAGCTCCCTGCATTGCTTCACCTCAAAGCCATCTAGCAAGTCCACTATCAAATAGTAGACTTCTTTCTTGTCTTATTTTTCACTAACTGATTCACACATTCTGCAGAGTCATTTAAATGAGATGTATCTGAGATTGTCACTTCATACACTATTTTCTTATTCTTGCAAAACATCTTAAGATCATTACTTTTGAACTTTTCTTCATCATTTCAGTGCAAAGTCTCTACAAATCATTATGTCATCTCAATCATGTCAATGAAGTTCATAAGTGCTGATGTGATCTCTGCTTTTGTGACAATCAGAATAATCTATTTAAAGTAAGTGACATTATTTGTAATCTTCATTCAGTATCTTGCATCTCTTTCATTGAGTTGATTATCTTCATCATATTTTTTTTTTCTTCTTCTTCAAGGTTCTCATAAAATCTCATTGCTAATTTGACAGCTTTGCTTATTGAGACATAAAGTAGATAAATTATTTTTACTTATATATGTCTTGCAGAATGACAAAGTTTTTTGATCTTTTATTCACATCTCTAGTCTAGAATCTGCAGTCATTTTTGATATATTCACTGAATTTAAATAGCTCAGCTTTTGATGCCACTGTGCTATCATGTATTTCAAAGTCTTGATGTCACTCTTGGACAGCTTTATTAGAGAATTATCATCTGATTGCAAGATATATGCAGGTTTAAAATCATCATTTAGCATTGTAAAATGAATCAAATCTCTTAATGCTGATAATTTCTTCATCATATAGACACATTCTTTTCATTCAAATGCACTGTGAAGCCTGTCATTCTGTCAGAAGATATCATCAAAATTGAATGATTATTGTCATATATTAATTGTTTGAAAGTATATTCTTTGCATACAAGTTTTCCAAGGCTTATTAGATTGATCTTCAGCTTTAAGACATAACAGACATCATTCAGTTCAATACTTAATTCCTCAGTTGAGATGCACACTCTCTCTACATCTGCTACTGACACTGTAAATTTATCTGCCATCTTCAATATGATATTTATTCTCTGAAGTGTAATCTCAATAAAATTTTTCTGAAATATGGTATGAACTTCTGATCTGAAGTCTAGAACTCAGATATTCTTCATCACTTTATCACTGAAATAAATCATCTCTTTTGCAAAGAATACTTACTTCACAACATTATAAACTGAAGCAGTATTGTCTTTATTCTTGTTCTTATTTTTATAATTATTATTCTCTTATGATCTGCAGAGTATTTTTCTGAATATTTTATTCAACAATCAGTCTTGAGATATTCTGTCTTATGACAGTGATAGCATGTCTTTTTCATGTTGTTGCTATTCTGCTTGAACTTCTTATCTTTATCTTTATCTTTAATTCTCAAATTCTTATTCTTACTCTTATATTTTTTTTATAAATCTTGAGTATTATTTGTGAAATTTCTTGTATTTGTCAAGATAGTATTTTGTTCAGCAGCTGATAGATGCAATAGAATATTTTGATACAGTCTTATGAAATCTGTCTCAATATTATAGACATTGACATTTTTTTCAGTGTGGTTCATTTTATTTCTGATAAGTGATGCTAATTCAGTTCTGACATTAGTTAACAAGCAGTCAAAAAGAACAAAATCTTCAATCTTATATTTTAAATAAGTATATTTATTCAGTCTGAATGATGATCAGACATTCTATAAAAACTTTATCTAAGTCTTTCATTTTAGCTGTCAAGCTAATCAGTTTCTCAAAAAGACAGATACAGTAGACTACAGATCTCTCTGAGACGTTCTCTTTTATAATTGTTTATAAAATATACACTGACAACTGATGATCTTAGAGTATTATAAATGAGATCTTACTTGCAGAGAGATTAAAGATAACATATGATTATAAAGTCATATTTCTTTCAGTTCAAAAATATTATATATTCATACTAACATTATTCTCTGAAACAGATTGCTTCTCATTGAGAATATCATCAGTTTCAGATTGCTTAGCAGTCAGTATAATCTCTTCTCTTCATATTGAATAGTTCACAAAATCAGTTAGAATAATAGATTTCTTAATGTACTTCACTTAAATCTCTAAATTCATTCAAGATCTTCATTATGATAATATTTCTGCCTTTTCTCTGTAGATAGTTCATAAGATCTTTACTCATTTCATTGTCACTAGTATTGATAGTGAGTGCCTCTCTACTTGCTTTCATCATTTTAACTTCTTGCTGAAGTTTTGCAATCTCTAATCTCATTGAAGTTTCTTTACTAACTTCTGACATCTGATCATTAGAGTCAACTGTATCCTCTGACATTTCATCAACCAGGTCTTCATATGTGTTATTAGACTTGTCTGATTTCTTCTGAATTGTTTTGTCTATTTTAAATGCTTCAGACACACTTTTACAGATTGTAATATATATAGACAGTGAATCTGCAGACTCTGAAGTTCTATTCTTCAGAGTTCTATTCTCAGATTCTCAGTTTTGTCTTCTTTTTGACATGTATTCTTCTGTCAAATCTGATGTTTCATCTAAATGTAGATTGACCATTGATGTCATTCAATTGTTTGCATTTTTTCTCATATTGTTTATAGCTGTTTGTTCATAGCTGTTCATTTGCCCTTTCTTCTCACATTATTCACAGTGAAAAACCTCTAATTAAGTCTCATAATCTCTTAGAGAATCATTATTAATCTTGTTGCATTGTGTGACTCTAAGCAAACTAGTTACTACTAATAAATACATAGATGCATGTGATCTCAAATAGCTGGAAAATTCTCTAATATCTATTTTAGATTTATAAGAAATTTCTACACATTGTTCAGCAGTTATCTTGTAATTTTTTCTATTTATTCTTGCTTCATATTTCTCAATAGATTGATTACTTAGCTTATCATAATCACTTTGATTTTATAAATCTGAATCAAATTAATACTTTCAACTTTTCACATGATATTCTATCATATATCTTATTAATTTTATCTTTTTAAGAAGAGAAGTATTATCAAGAAAGCTATTATATACATTGTGAATCTAATGATCATTGAGTTAAAAACTACTATTTTTATTTATATTCTTTTAAGCTCTATCACTGCTATTAAACTGCTAAATAAATTCTAGTTTTTAATTAAAAATCTGATTATAGTAACTCAGATATTAGTGAAATATAAAAAAAAATATATAAAAACCTGGTGAATAATAGCTAGAATAATTAATCAACTGATAAGTTCAATTTTATTTTACTATTTTCTTTTATCCAATATAACTGCTTAAAAGTAAGTACTCTTTTAAATCAGAGAGTAATATTGTAGTACTATTACTAATAATATAAAATAAGATTAATTTATTTTGATTCTCAATTATATTTGATTGTTTAGATTAATTCACTTTGATTCTTAATTATATATATATATTTAGCTACTTATTTATTCTTATATTTAAATTCTTAATTTAGTATTCTTATTATAATTATCTAGTAGATAGATAAATTAAACTTTTATCTTCTTATTATCATATCTCTAGATTGAGCTGTAATAGATTAAGTTATAATATTATATATATAATATTACTTAAGATAATCAATTAACTGATAAGTTTAATAAATTTTATTTTGCTTTTTTCTTGTATCTAGCATAGCTGTTTAAAAGCAGATAATTTTTTAAACTAAGTGATAATATTACAGTATAGTTACTGATAATATAAGATAAAATTGATCTGTTCTAATTTTAATCATATTTAGTACTTAAGATTAATTCACTTTAATTCTTAATCATCTATACATATTTAGTTGCTTATTTTATTTCTATATTCTAATTCTTAGTGTAATATTTTTATTAAGCTATCTAGTTAGATAGATAAATTAAGCTTTTATTTTATTATCATTATATCTTTAGTTGAGTAATAATAAAAAGAAGCTCAATTTTTTATAAAATTTATATATTTTTTCTTCTTTAAAATTTTTTTATTTCCATATATACTAATTGTTAATTATTTTCAGGAACTAGTTTGTCACAGAAAGTATCTTTTAATTAGTTATTTTAAATAGTCAAAGATTAATAATTTGATTCAATGCCTTTTTATATGATATTATTATATATTAAATTGATTAATTGAATAAATAATTCAACTATCTTTGAGATCTTAATAGAAATCTTTCCCTTAATAGATATGAGTATAATCACAAAAGCATAAGTAGTAATATCAGTATTTCAAACTATATTGAAAGAAGAATTGAATTTGAAAAGAAATTTAAAAATTAATATACTAAAATCAATATAATTTTATATATATAAGTAAGATTCTAGTGGAATTAAGGTTTCATAGCGTTATATGGCGTCTTAGTAGAAGGAAACTTTTTGAAAGAAATCTCTGTACAGAGAGAAGAAGCTCAGTTAAAGATACTTCAGTTTTTTCGTGATTTTTATATATTGTAAAGTACTTAGAAATCTCTCTCATCAAGACATAGCAAATATGAAAACAGACAGTAGATGATTAATAAAAGATACAGAGTGTATTTTCTATCATCAATTTAGTATTGTTTACTTCTAATTATTCTTTCTTATTTTGAAGCTGTTGTTGAATGAGTTGCTTTGATTCATTAATGTAGTGAGGTAATATGATTTATCACTAAACAAATCATATCACTAAATGAGCTGTTCTCAGCAAAACTGCCTCAACTCAACAAAAAGATTATCATGAAAATATTTTAATCAATCTTGATTACATCTCTATAAGCTCTCTCCCATTCTCTTAGACAGCAAGTTTGATGATGTGCTAATGCAGTGCTGTTAGTGCACTCAGCCTCTCAACAACATCAAACACATTCTGAGTCTTGATGTGCATTTGCTCTCTCACACACTGACCACTCAAAAATCTCATCTCTTCATCTCAATCATATGCTGCACATGTGAATTGAATGACATGAAGTCTTCAAGCTCCTCTACATTTAGCAGACAGCTCAAAGAGCATAAATGTCACATCAATACATCTCAATCTACATGGTCTGATGACTAGCAAGCTTCTAGCTGCTCATGAGACTAAGACACAGAAATTTCATATAGAAGTACTAGCTGCTGCAAATATGCTTAATCAGATTGAAGAAGACTTAGATGGTATAAAGACAAAAAATCTATCAAAAGCACTGATCTTTGAAGTTGTCATAAAGATGTTAGTTAAGAACTGATACAATAAAAGTCTAGAAACAGCTAAGCAGATCATCACAATTAAGTCTACTGACTTCACTGATGCAATTAATGCAAAAGCTTCTACCTACACAAAAACAGCTGCAGACAGCACTAATATAGCAAAAACACCAGCAATCATACTGCAGAAACTTCTATTTAAAAATAATCTCAGAGAAGAAAAAATACTGCAAATTCTCATATGCTTTTTTCAGATCATTTAGCTTGCAAAGCAAGCTTAATTACTACTCTTAAAAAGCTAAAGACTAAACTTCTAAGGTTTTTAACAGCAGTCATCATAGCAGCTCAAGTTATTTTCATTGACATTGTTATCATCTCTAGAAGCTTACAAAACATGAAGACTCTAGTCAAAAAAAATAATATAGCAGCTACTCTTATCAATACTCAAATAGAGAAGAAAGAATATTGAATCATCTGTCTGATTTCTAAGCTACTCATGAAGATTAGTGACTATGATGATGAAACTCTGCATCTCTCAGCAGAATTCATAATAGAAGAATTCACACTTCAAATCAGAATTAAGTTTGTTCAGAGTTGCTGAGTAAAAACACACTCTGAAAACTCAACAGTCACTCTTATATTACACTTTTCATAAAAGACAGCAGCAAATTTGTCATTAAAAGTGAAACTATATGAATATCAAAGATCAGTAATTAGAAAGACATCTAAGATTAAAATACAACAATGCAGCAAGATGCTGAAAATTTCATCAAAAGAGATACTCTCTCTGTATTTCTCAATGCAAAAAATGCAGCTCTAAGAATCACATAAAAGAAAATTCAATCTGTCATAAGAAGAATAAAGTATGTGAATATCTCAATCACTGCACTAACTGTTTTAAATCCCATGCCGCAAATTATTCATTTTTTCTTATCAGATTGAGAATAAAGAATGAAATTGTTCAAAGACATTTAAGAAATTAGCAGAGAAATATTTGCAACGCACAAAATAAAACATACTTGATCAAGATAAATAACAGCAAATGTGATGATTGAGATTCATCAGCAGATCTGATATTGAATAACTTTATTGAGTGTAGATTCAATCTCATACTGATATTAAACACAGCATCAAGCATAGCATTGAGTACAGCATCAGACACAGTATTAGATATAATACTTAACTCAATATTTAATACAATATTCAATATGACATTTTGTTTAACAATACTCTTCTTTTAGCTACTCAATAAAGAGGAACTTTAGATCTCTACAATTTCTACAGATTATGCAGATCAACATAGAAAAAGAGAGTCTGACACATAAGACAGTTCTCAATCTAGTATTTAAAAGAAAGATTGACATTCTTCTTATATAGAAACTCTGAATTCATGGAAACTTAAACTGATGCTTCTCTAAAAAGCACTCAGCATTCAACTGCTTTGCTTTAATTAAAAAGTAAGATAGAAAGCTACAAATTCTCATCTACATGTATAAGCACTCACAAATTCATGCTCATGCAGTTCTAGGCCTCTGAGCAAAGAATCAGAACATTCATATGCTGCATATACAGATTTAAAATCTACAGCTTCAGACAGTTAATATATATAATACATCTTCAGATGCAGAGAATTCTAACAAAATGTCAGCTATCTTCTCTTCTGATTCATCTCAGTACTCTCTTTGTTTCTTGTTGATGACCTTAATATCAAACACTCTACATGGCAACCAGAAGTGTCTTCAAGCATGTGAGTGGAATTATTCCTGCAATGAATCATGAATTTCAACTTTACTCTCATCATGGATTCAGACATCTCTACATATAAGCATAATATATTAGATCTGGCCTGGACCACTCTGAAATTAATTATCAAAGAAGTGGACACACAGATAGACAGATTTTTTTACACTTTCTCTAATCATCAAACTCTTCTCATCAAAATCAGTCTTTCATGAAGTGTAAGATCTGATAGATCATCTTATCGTTTCTATCTTGACATCATGAATGAGAAGGTTTTTAATCAGATGCTGAAGATTTATAAGTCAAAAATAGACAAACTATATGATATTTCAGAGTATCTCAATACAGATCAGCTGGATGCTCTGACTTAAAATATCACAGATATACTAGTAGCTTCTCTAAAAAGCTTCATCATGAAAAGCACTAAGACAC